GGGGAGCTCTCCTGTTTGCTTTTTCACTATGGAATTTCTACCGCATGCATTCATTTTAACGAAAATACTTCCCTTTAATGAACCCATTTTTAGAAGGAAAATAAAAACCCACCCCCAAGTGCAGGACCCTGCCCAGCTTCAGGGAGGGGACACCACCCGTGACCTGCCTCGGGCTCTCTGGGGTGCGCGGGCTGGGCTGACCGGGTGCGGCTGAGGGGTCCGTGGGGGTCAGCCCGGCTAGGATGGAGGAGCCCGACCGTCACTAAACCTCTGGGAGCGGCTAACAGGGCGACGCCATCTGCCCCGGTGTCTCAAGGCCAAGTCTCCAGAGTGGTTTCTGCCGCACCCTCTTGACAGCGCCCGAATCAAGCTGACTCCCCGTGATGTCGGGACTGTGAGAACTGGTGGTGCGCACTCGTGGGAAGCAGGTGTCTCGGCCTGCCAACCGGGACCCCGGAGCGGGCCCTTCCGCCTGAGCAAGCCTCCTCTGAACCTGTCTACGCTGAGCTCGTCACCTCTGCGCCTTACCTGCCCCCTCCCACGGCACCAGGGGGCGTCCCGGCAGCTGGGCCCAGCTCGCCGAGGCTCTTCTGCAGGGAGCCGTGCTGGAGTCCTCGGCCTTGCGAACATGCAGACTGCGATCTGGACACCTTTTATTTAATTTCAAGAATTCCCTTTGCATGGCAGAAAGGGGTCTGAGAAAGCAGAGCGGCGCAGATGAGGGGAGGGCAAAGCAGGACGCTCACCAGCGGGGGCCGGGTGCCGGCTGCCCCTGTGCTCCCAGCTGGGAGAGAAGCAGGGTCACTGGGAGGGGCAGGAAAAGTCACTCTTGACACCAACGAGGGTCCCGGGGCCTGCACCCCACCCGGGCCTGGCCATGCAAGACGCAGAAATGGAGACGGCCCTCAGGGCCACGGAGCAGATGCACCAACACAGGGGGTCCTCGTCGCGCCGCCCCGGAGGCCTGCGGGGTCCGAGCGCGAGGGTCTGTCCATGCCGTGAGCAAGGTCACCGCGCAGATAGCACCAGTGGGAGGCTCAGGGTGGAGGGAGCCTGAGCGCTCCGACTCTAGCACCCGCTTGCCCTGCCGCGCGGGCCTCGCCCTCTGCCCGAGGAACGGGGTACACCCTGGGTGAGGTCTGGCCGGGCAGCAGCGGCCTCTGGGGGCCGGTCACCACTGTGCAGTGAAGAGGCTGCTGCACCAGCTTGAGGGACCAGAGGTGGGGGACAGGCCAGGGCCCTGGGGGGCCTCCCGCCGGGCGCGCCACATGGGAAGAGCCTTGCAAAGCACAAGCCCGACTCTTCGCGGCCAGTCCGCGCCTGGTCCCCAGTGTCCCTGCTGCTTCTGATTGTGACTGGTGGGCCCTGGGGCGGAGCAGCAGCCCGGGGGCCGTCCTGAGGTCTCTCTGCGAAGGAGGTAGGCAGTGTGTGTGGTGGGGGGACACTGCGCTGTGGGGTGGTCTCCCGTTAACCAGCTCGCCTGCGGCTCACCTGCCTCAGTTTACCAGGTCAGGCAAAAGCTACCCCACCTCCCTCAGAGGGACAGGCTAAGGGAGCAGATAGATAACGGATAGAAAACACGTTTAAAAAAGTATAAAGCGCATTGAAACGCGAGGCAGTGTGCGCGCCGCAGCGGCGTCCCTCGGCGCGTCCCTCGCTGCCCACACACCTTCGCTCCCGCCTCGAGCGTCTCTGAGCCGTCGGGCCCTTCTCCCTCTCTCAGAACGGGGCGGGGACCTGGGGGCTGCCCGTCCCGCCGAGACTGCAGTGGCCGCG